CGAACGGTTGGATGGGGAGGAGAGTGAAGGAGGTGATGGGGCCACTCATGGGCTTAAGCAGTTGGTCCAGATGGAGTTGGAGCTTATTAAGGGGTGGAGAGAAGCTGAAATTATGAATACTCTCCCTGTAGGCAAGGTCAAGATTGTTTCTGGTGGTAGCGGTGGCGGCGATAAGGTCGGGAAGGGGAAGGGTGGAGGGAAGGGTGGGAAGAGTGGGAAGGGTGGGAAGGGTAAAGGAGGTAAATAGTAAGAATGGGAATGTTTGGCTACGTCGAGAGATGGAAATATCTATGTGTATAATACTCCAGTATATACCAAGGGGCAAATTATCATTTTGAATCCAAATATGAAAGATACGAAGGGCGTGGTCTAACTTAAATCAGCATGATAACGTGTATGGATGCTTGCACTGCACATGATCATGAACTACGTTGTTAGAGGTGCAAAACTGTAACCAAAAATCTATGTATTTGTTGTCTATCAACGTGGAGGAAAGAATACCAAGAGGAGATAAGACGGGGATGATGAAAAATATTTGCCCAATTTCATCCTCGAATCTCCTCCTCAGCCGCTTTTCGCAGCCGGTTCATAATCGCAGCTGCGAGATCGCCTTCAGTATCCGAAATGCCCTCAACATATATGATGGAAACATTCTTCTCATCTAAACCGCGTAGGGCAGAAAATAAACCCCGTGCAATAGAATCTGTGTCTGGGCCGATATAGATATCGAATAGCTCGATTGGAGTGCCTAAGTTGAGCTCTATAGACGGGAGGAGTCGAAGGCAAGTTGATTGGTAGCCAGTTACGTGTGAAGAGGAATTGAATGGATTCGTTGGGGTATTGGAAATACTCGGTGTTTCGGAACCAGCTGCGCCATTGCTGACACTACAATCATTACCCCGGATGCCCAATCCCTTCTTCCAGCACTTGGTCCTGACAATCCCCACACGAGGAATGTCAGGCTTGGCTTTATCCCCGTTCTGTCCCTTATGGCAAGTAAGCCCTACTAGATCCCTGAGCAGCCTGCTTTTAACAGCTTCAAGGTCTCGACCTGCTTCAAATAGAACAACCTTGGCCTTTGGTGAATAATGTTTATATTTCATCCCGGGAGCGCGCGGGACCTCTTTACCCTGCAATGCGCCATCTTTATACCCAATTCGAACTTCCTCCCAACCGGGACAGGCACGTATCTCTTCAATACCAATTCCTCCCGGCCGGAGTACGGCGGGTGGATATAGTAGCCCGTCAACCACAGTGCTTTCCACCCCAACGCCAGAGGGTCCTCCGTCTAAGATCATATCAATACGCCCTTGTAGATCGGTATATACATGTTGAGCGGTGGTGGGGGATGGCTTGGTTGACGCATTTGCGGACGGAGCGGCAAGCGGCCTATCGGCGAGATATATGAGGAGCCGCGCAAGTGGAGAAGATGGCATTCGAACACCAAATGTAGGAAGCGTAGATGTGACCTCTGGTGCGAGTGGGGAAGGTGTTGGGTTCGGTAGGATGATGGTCAACGGGCCAGGCCAGAATCTACTTATCAGAGGCTCGTATATTAGGGGAATGAGATTCGTTTCTCCTCCTTGTTGAGATCGCTTCGTTCCCGAGTCGGATTTGCCATCACGCAAACTATCCGATGGCGATAGAAGGAGACGTTGTAATTGTTCTCTTGAGCTCACATGGACGATGAGGGGATTGTCCGACGGTCTCTGCTTTGCTTTGTAGATGCCCTGAACGGCAGCGCTCCGGGTCGCATCTGCGCCTAACCCGTAAACAGTTTCTGTAGGGAACGCCACTGGTATATCGCTCGTGCGCAGTGCTTCTGCCGCCTCAAGCAAAACTTTGGCCTCCGGATTCCCTCGCTCATTTTCTGCTGTCCACTTTTCGACCAGCGTCTTCGTCGTGTCCTGGATTGAAAAATTCAAGCTGTGCACGGGAAAGACTCTAGTTATCCTCTCTCCTGCCTTTCCGTTGGTTTCTCTAGGGGCCTTCCCCAGCAGACCATTCCGAGCTGTCATGGCTTGGGGAACTTTTTGCGCAGTCGGGAGGCGGAGAGCGGGGAAGAGGCGATTCAGATTTATTAATGCCGTTTTAGCGGCTGGACGGTTAGCTGTCCCTTTCTCCTCCACAAGCGCGGCAACCTGTATTATATGATAGAAGTCCCCTTGGGTATCTGGTGGTCGGAATCGAAACTAAAAATACGCAGCCCGGTTAAATAATGCCTGCGCGATAAGTTTACTTGTAGTGGAGTCACAACAGGCTGGATCAAGGCGCATAGACGGGGTTCAATACGTACACTCTCAGTCGATAGAGTGGAATATGTATCATCTCAGTGAGACTTGAGAATATTTTAAAAATCAATAAATGTCATAGACAGGGACTCATTAGGGTAGCGTTGGGTATCTGTGGTTGAATTTCTGGACGTGAGATTTTGGCTGATTAACAATTTATTCTTTTTTAGTTTTTTACTTCTTTATTTCTTTTTTGATGACGTCGGGATGCCGAGGCACAACAATAAAGTCACAGACGACTCTTACAAGAACCAACAGTGAGCGCTCTTATACATCTACGTGGTTATATAAAATAATTAGCTCGTATTACTCGTTGTGCAGTCAATGATTCAAGTACAATATCTATAGACGGCGTCAACACTAGGTATATATCACTTCTCAAGATAGCTGACTGGTCAACTTATGAGGGCATAAAAAATGTAAATGCACTTCGTGAAAAAGACCTGCTGTCACTATTACATGGTGTCCCTAAGTAAACACATAGCATTCGCTTCGGGCATATTATTGCTAGTACAGAAGAAGCGAACCAAAACGAACGAGGCTACAAGGGGGACGAACAGGATCTGAGCCGTAAACTGCTGTCGCAAAGGCCACTGTGCTCACTCGACCGAGATGAATAGATGTGAAACTCTACTGAAATATAAAAAGCTCGGTCGTTAATGGATGAATCTCCATCAACACTCTCTCGTTTGCATCGCCATCGAAATTAGCCGCAAAGGGGAATCATTCGTCTCAGACATCGAAGGATTCGTAAACAACAGCCGCAGACGGTAGGGGATAGAATGTCAGGATAATGGCTCTTTTCACCGCTCGAAATGCCCATTGATCGACCAACATGCGATAAAACAGGATATTTAGCCCATTATTCTTCAATCGAAACATTCTCAAGCTTGTAAACTTCGTAACCGGGTTCTTCGTACGGATGAGCCTTGACCAGCGCCTTTACAGCTTCCTGCATCGTGGTTCGACCCATGCACAAGACCTCCACCCGCATTTCTTCAACAAACTCCAGAGCACCGACTTTACCGATGTTCGGATTTGCATCCCCTCCAGGGAGGAACTGGCCGGTGCCTGGGGACTGGAAGCAGACTCTGGTGTATTTCCCCTGCGGGTACTGGCCAGCGCCGGCGTCGAATACGGCGTCTTTGCAGGCCTCCACATGAGATAACGGGGCGAAGAAGACGAGCTTAAAGCGGTCTTGGTCCATGAGGGGCGAGGAAACGTAGGACCTGATTAGGGAAGATTGAACTGAGTGTGGGGGAGAAAGTAGCGAGCGACAGATTAGTGCTGAGATCCTGGTTGTGTGCCCGATAGAAGTGAAGAGCATTCCTTTCCTTCTACGCCCCCTCTTTCACTTCTCGCCTTGCCGATATAGTAGCAGAGAAATATAGGATTGTATCGTGGTTGTTATAAGTTTTGTTGTGATACCAAGCTTGTTTTTTCTATAACTAGTTAACTAAAATGTTCTGGGGATGACATAAGACAGCATTGCGCCGCTTCTTATTGGCCAGCGGAACTTCAAACATCATCTCCGTCCAGTTTGCTTTCGACTATCAAAGACCTGATTCCGACCTCCAGCTGCCAGCCATTGCCATTTCAGCCTTCAATTCTTAGGGTGCTGCTTGATACCAGGCCTTGTCGCCCCTAATTCTACCATCAATGACATCCAAATTGGTCCCCTTTTCTTTGCGGCAGGGCCGCTTCGCTCTCTCCCGCTTCCCAGTCCGGCAATGTCGCCCGTTCACTGTTGCGGCGCCACTCCGGAGCGAGATTTTCGCAGTCGTATGTCCACTAACCTATATATGTGGCTATTACAAGACTTATGCTAATATATAACTGGCTACACTAGCACCGAAACACTCCCGAAAACAACCCTAACATCCCCTTCAAATTCTCAGAAGAGAACCTCAAGCTTATCGATGAGATCCTCCTGAGGTATCCTCCACAATATAAGAAGGCAGCTGTCATGCCACTTCTAGACCTGGGTCAACGGCAGCATGGCTACACTAGCATCAGTGTTATGAACGAAGTAGCGCGCATGCTGGAGATGCCCCCAATGAGAGTGTACGAAGTTGCGACATTCTACACAATGTACAACCGGGAACCCGTGGGGAAATACCATGTAAAGGTTTGCACAACGGTACGTTTTAGCTGCCTAGCTAGCCATACAATTATTTACCGTATCCGAAGAGCTCCCCCTAAAATGACACCTTACTAACCTGGCATGATTTTTCTCCTTTCCTTAGACACCATGTCAACTAGGCGGTTGCGGCAGCGACAAAATCATGAAAGCCGTCACAGACCACCTCGGAGTCTCCAATGGCCAAACAACCCCAGACAAACTATACACCGTTCTTGAAGTCGAATGTTTGGGCGCCTGCGTGAACGCACCTGTGGTACAAATCAACGACGACTACTACGAGGACCTCACTCCAGAATCCGTAGTGAGTCTCCTAGATGCTTTTAAGGAATCGGAAACGAACAAATCCGTCAAGATTCCTCCACCCGGCCCGCTCAGTGAACGAAACACGTGTGAGAATAGCGCCGGTTTGACCAATTTGACGAATCCATCGTGGAGTCCGGAGCTGATGAGGACAGACGGGGAACTGTAAGAATTTAAATGTACACACAAATATAGAAATTTAATGGAAAAGGGATTTTCAAACAGACGAAGAATCGGAAATTTTATCTTCCGATTGATCTGCGTACGTTTCATTTAAAATTTCGCTGTATTTTCACTAGGATGTCTGTTCAATGCTTAACTTCTGGGTGCATTTGCTAACGTTTCAATTTTCCTTTCCTTTCCATCCTAAAGTATGTCTTAATTCCGCAGAACTCAATGTGGAATAACCAGATGCCTTTGAGGTCGGATATTTATTATCCCTGCAATCGTCATAACCACGAACTGATTTGCGTACTAAAGAACTACCATATTAGTTATTAATTCCTAGCTCGCCGGGCGGTACTGTTTCACGTACATGTACATATTTTAAATACGCGCTCATTTTTATCCATAACTCCAACCTATCCTTCACTAACGAACAACTATAAGAACAAGATACGAAACCTCACAAAAGACACACATGAAACACTGCAAAAAGGCAATAGCGACGGGCTGTTTCAGAAAATAACTGTTCCTTCGCCTCATCGCAAACTAAGAAAAATCGCATTTGAAAAAGAGTACTCCACCACCCAACCTTGGAAAGAATAAAGCTACGCACAACCCCCAAAATCAGATATCAGCAGCATTGCTACCATCCAATGAGCTGCCTCTCCATCCAAGCTCATCCGTAGGCAATAAAACTTCGCTACCTGACACAGAGAGAAACCCCCTATCTCTTTTCACCAAACGCTCCTGCCGACGCTGTTCAAAAATGTTTACCTCAATCGTCTTTAGAGCTAGGAAGTGATATATGTGCACATGCTTTTGTTGACCGTAGCGTCGAGACCGTCCAATCGCCTGTGCCATTCCCGAATTGTAATCGTACTGTGACTTAGCGAATAAAGGGTGAAAGAAGATGACGTGGTTTGCGTTTTGAAGGTTCCTGTGACATTTGTTAGGATTTAAAACACTGAGAAATGATATGAATTCAACATATGTCCTGTTTAAAGGAGTGGTAATGGAGACAGGGCGTTAATATCTGACAAACTTACAATCCGGATGCCGAAACATCTCCCAGATGCAAGATGAGAACCTTGCTCTTCACTTTTTCAGTGCCAGTCTGGAATTGTGCTATCTTAGAAGAGGCCATGCGATCAGTGGCGGGGATCATTAGATGAGGAATGTTTGCTTGCTGCAGCGCAGCAGAAGCGGATTCCATGAGATCTGAAAACTGTATGAAAAGTAACACCTGTTCGTCTTCTGCGATACGGTCGGTATCTTGTATAAGTCGAATCAACTCTAACAATTTTGTTCCGCGGTACCCTTGCCATTTTTCGTCACTGGCATTGTTGTCGGTGTCATTGTCAATGTCTTTGTTGCTGATGGAAATGTCAGAATACTTGATCATCCGGAAACTTTGTGCTCCGCCGCTGCACGCTGGAAGGCGACAAGATTCCTCAACTTTCGCAATCTCAATACACGATTCGCAGCAGGCATGCCCACATTCACCCAATATAGTGAGTGAATTTGGGCATGCGAGTCGTCTGAAACATGAGGAGCAAGCAAACACATCCTCGAGCTGTCGTTCCTGCAATGACCGCACGACAACGAAAAGCCTCGCAGCCCTTACACGAACCAGGGCTTCTTCAAGCAGTCTGCGCAAGCTATCAGTGCAAGCGTTCAGGTCGCTGATAAATTCGGATTGCGTCGTTGGATATTCAAGGCGAATGTCAGACGGCTTTTGTTTTTTCTACGCATTATATCAGCACGAAACGTATCTCAGTTTATCAACATTGGTGTTGTATACCTCCTGAGTTGTTAAATAGTAGCACTGCCCATCTTTAGGGGTATATGCTGTGCGCGCGGCAGTAATTGCATTGCGGAAACACGAGGTAACCCCCAGGTCACCAGCCCCATTTCTCTCTAAATGTTTTATTAGCGTATCGAAATGTGTTGTCGTTTCAATTTTAGATTGTAACCAAAACGCATGCCTGAGCTTTTCAATTATATCTAGTGCAAGAGCATAGAACTGTGTATCCCTTGCGAATAGGGCGTTTTCCTCGCCCGAGCAAACAGATGTGGCATCTGTTTCACATGTCACTGAATCCCTTCCGTCGTCACTTTCAAAAATGCTGCTTGCGCTTGACGGAGTGCTACCATCGTCCGTTTTGACGCTCTCTGTTTTATCAATCAATCGTTTACCCATTATCTTTTCAAGGGGTACAAAGTAAGAGGAACATTTTATCAGAGCTTCTTCAGGTCCACTGCTATTTCCAAGTATAGCGTCATTGCGGGACATTGCAGAAGAGTCATATAGACCTCTTCCGTTTCTACGAAGCTTTAGATTCTGCGACATTAACTGCATGAACAGCTCAAGGTAGGCCGCTCGTTCTCGGGGAGCCAAAATAACGGGACAGATATGTTCTGTCCAGGGTATTTCATCGATACCAGGGATATTCTAGGGAAGTCAGAAGCCATTTTTAGCGGCAACTTTGCAATATAATGCCACAGGGGCAATTACCTTCCGCATAAATTGATCAAGAAACCCCTGGGCTACATTATGTCGTCTTCGATGCCACGCTGCACTATGCCGGGTAACAAAAGGTTGAAATTGCTCAGCATCTGTTCAGTTAGCACATGCCTGAAGCAGTCACAATGTCAAGTGCTTTGAGAAAATACCTGTCTGATCCCGTTGAATGGTTCTCAGTCTTTCATTTTCCGTTTCCCGGCCTTCTTCGTCATCTACTCCTAGAGTGATTCCGAGAAAGGGAGAGAATGACTTTACGTCGGCAAAGTCGTTAAGGGGCGGTGTTCCAGATAGGATCCATTTGCTGCGAGCAGGAATTGCAAGCACTGATGAGTAGTTTCGATCCTTCGAGTACGTAAACTCATCAATCACAATACGGCTGTATTCAAACATGTGAATCAATGGAGAACGCATTCTCTTCCAATCGCCGTCGCACTTCAAAAGCTGAAAAACGTTGTCGGACTGGCTAGAGAGCTCTTCAGTTGCTAAATTTGATTTTCCTTTCGGCTTCTTTGCTCGGGGACCCTTGGCGGTACATTCATCTTCCTTATAGTCCTCCATTATTTTCCTCTTTGCCTTCCGCAGTTTCGCTGGGGTATTGTTGAGTCTCGGCTCTGAGTGGCTATCTAATTTATCAGCGGTCACGTCATCGCCATCAATCTTTCGCATTTGTTCCTGGAGTTTCAATAGATGATCTTGGAACTTTTGACCCTTTAACCGCCTCGAGGGTTGGAATTTTGAGTATATTCCACTGTTCTTAAGATTAGTTCGCTTCCGGACCATGTTCTGGAGTACCACTTCAGGCCCTTCCGTCACCAGAAGATCAACATGATCCCTAACAGCATCCATCGTGTCATTCAGCCATTCATCAAAGATCCTCCCATCCCCCTTGGGTACGGCAGACGAGGCCGCAAAAAGCTCCATCCTATCATAGTAGCTCGCTCCACGAACCACGGAAGTTGACAGTAACACAATATCAGCCATTCCAAATCGGCGAATAGTTAGTGATCGAAGCGAAGCAATCGATTTGATTTCCAAAACATTATACTTCTTGCCCAAAAATTTGGTAATTTCACGAGACCATTGGTCCATCAAATGCTGGGGTGCGACAATCAAAGTAGCTTTGATGGGAATCGCCCGTTTCACAGAGCTAGGCACATTTTTTGAATTTTTGGTGAATTGAGAGTCGATTAAACCAAGAGTTATCGCAGTTTTTCCATATCCAACATCATCACCCAAAATACCCCCACGCACAAGGTGTTTAACCGTAGCTTTTGCTTCAGCTCTCCAATTTACAGCTGGCAGCATAGCTTCCACGACTTCCTCCTCTTGAAAAGGTTGAGCAATATCCTCCTGTTCCCTCATCCAGGTAAGTGATCGCAGTTGTTCCGGGCGGAGATTAAAGAACTTGAATCCGGGAGGTTGTGTTGATTCAGTGTCGGCTTTGTTGTTTTTCTCCTTCAACGTGGGTAATCGTTGGCGAAGAAAACCGACGTTATCAATGCAGAGCCGCCATTGTAGAGACACTTCATCCCATTTGGCAAGCTTCCCCCTTGCTTGATGGGCAAGAGTTATCACATTCAAACATAATTTGACCTGTAGAACAGAATCATGGCCAAGCCTAGTAAACCCAAGAAATGCTGCAGGTCGCTTCTTTATACTTTGCTCGTAAACGGCAGCATCCTTTGGGTCTTCGTAGGCATAGATGCGGTCTTTATCGTCCAAGGCCCATACTAGTCGAGGTTTTCGAGGCGCGCAAATACCACACACTTTGCTGTATTCTTCACCACCCAAACATATACTATTCCATTCGCTAAATTGGTCCACTGAGCTAGCTCGCTGTAACAACCATGCAAGATTCCTGAGAGCTGTTGGCGATTCCATTAGATTTGAGACCCTCCATGTGCCAGGCTCCCAAGCCAATTCTGCACCGCTTGCAGGAATTGACGATATCAGCATGGGAATGTAAAATCCAAGACACTTGGATCCAATATTTCTAACAATTGCCTGAGGAGTTGGCGTCTGGTAGATAGGAGGCGGTGAAGAGTAAACACCAAGAGATATCGCGTCATCTGACGCAGTCTTTTTGAACCAGCAATGAGCGGACTTGGGTTCCTTAGAAATCGTACGTGGATCCCAATTTGGGTGCACCTCAGCTATTGTGATACGCGGCTCGCCGATATCCAGGCGACTGTGGTCAAGTGCAAAAACCCAAGAATCAAATTCTGTAGGGCCAATTTCTGTTGGGTCCAGGAAAAAGTAAACAGGCGGTTCACAGCCAGATACCATCTTCTTATGCAAGCTTCCACTTGCAGCACCGCAATCCTGCAGAAGCTCGTAGTCTCCGCGAATATCGAACTCCAAATTTTCAACCGCAGCATCAGTTGAAGATATATTAATCTGGCTCCATACCTTAGCACCAGCAAAATGCGAGTGCTTTAAACCAGCTCTCGAGCCGGTAGAAGGAAGAAGATCTCCGCTCCCAGCAATAGCAATGTCAAAATATGAACTAATTGGGGACTTGATATGCCAAATTCCTTTCAAAATATTCTCGCCAGATGGAGTCATGAAAGCGATGGGACATCGTAAAATTTGTCGAAGTGGAGAGTTGCTTGGTTCATCTTTTGGGGGGGCAAGGTAAAAGAACCATTGCAACGTTCCGGGCGAGCAGACAAATTTTAATACAGATAGGGAGCCTTTATATGTTATCGTCCAGGATCTTTGGCGAGTCACACCCTGAAATCGCAGTTCATCCCCTAATGCTAGAAGCAGTACCCTGGAAAAGTCCTCCCATGCCTTCATGATATCAACTGGCATATTATTTTCCATTAGTGCTCGGTACAGAGCAAGGGAGAGCCCGTTAATTTGGAGTCTCATTGGAAGCCTTTTCTTAAGCTGGGTTTCGAAATCGATAGGGCAACGCCGCGCGTTTAACTCGTCCCTAGGAACTGGGGAGTATACATGCAAAGGATTGCGGCCACACGATCTACATGCAGTAAGCCCGCATTTCAGGCACGTCACCATGTCCGTTCTTTTCATTAATAATTGACCTTCGCAGATACACATCCTCAAACTTCGCTTTCCAACTTCGAGAATTTCATGTGTAGAGAGCGCGATTTCGTCGCCCAATTGAATAGGGGCCACCTCTATGGTTAGATTGCCATCCATATGTGTTGTACAGCATTTTTCCTTTTTGGAGTTACTTTGGAAAGTTGTGCCAGAGGGGAGAGCTTGGTGTCCGATAATCAAAGCACTCATAATCGCTGCCCCCACCACAGTTGAACTCATCGCGTTACCTGCAAGATCGTTGAGATCCCTTTGACTGTCATTACTTAGTAATAACCTATCGATAGGAATTCCCTGCAAAGCCAACGCCTCAATACCTAAAAGAGGACCACCCCGTGATGTGACAAAGTGCTGACCCCGGGGAGTCAAACAACCAGATATACCGGATGCGCGTTGGTCCAGCTCCCTATCGAGTCCCTGAGAAAGGTCGATAATCCGACTATCGGCATGTTAGAATATATATGAACGTGGAAAATACAAAACCACTTACGATTTGAAGTTGATATCAAAACCTCTGACGATGCTCCGCAAATAGTTGACATCAAGGGTATCCCAAACACGTTCTGTCTGCGCCCTGCTCCATGCGTGCCAATAAAAGTCAGGCATTTGACAGGTGCCGTTATCCTGCCAACGAGTAAGAGGCCTTTTATCCCCGAGGCCTTCCCTCATTCTATACCGAAGGTGACGCGCCTTATATCGAGTCCAGTCAACAGCTTGGCGGTCTTTAATTGGGTTGGTGGATATATCATTGATAGCATCCTGCAAACGAGGGTCCTCGTTTTTGAGTAAAAATTGGGCAACAGGCGAACTTGCTGGGCGCTCAAAGTTTTTCATCATCTTCGCAAATGTAGATGATTTGGGGTCTGCAGGAAGTGGGGTCTCTAGTCTGGTTTGGTCGATACAAAGCATATAACCTCTCTCACGCGTTTGTGGCAGGTAATAGTTCTTGGTGTCTACTTTAATGTGATACGCGTGGTAATCCATTTCTTTGAAAGCATTCTTTATATGACCCCACGGAGCGCCGCAGACGTTCTCCAAGATCACCAAAGGTGGCCTGCAACGCTGAGTGTATCGCAAGACGCCGTAGAATGTATGGCCTGATTCTCCCATTTCGTCAAGAGTCTTACGATGGAGATTCATATTCGAAAAATCCACGCAGGAGAAGCCAACAACAAGTAGATCCAAATTTGAAGGCACTTTCCGGAGGGAACCAAATGCTGTAGTTCTGCGGATCACGTTAGTATACTACTTTCTTTTCGGGAGGATAATAGCTTACGCTTCATCAGCAATTAGCTCATTGACGTCTCGGAAAATTATATCAGGGGAGAAATTCCTCTGGATGTAAGACTGCTTGAAAGGATCTATCTCCGCACTGAATAAATGGTGCATGCTGAACGTCTTTCCAAAAATCTTTTTGAAACCTATAATTGCATATTAACAAGAGTAAATAAAGGAATATACGGGTCACATACTAGCTATCGCCATCTCCAAAGCAAGAAGGGGCGCTTCAGTGCCAGAACACATGGTCGCGACGCGTAAATCTCGTGAACCAATGTGGTCGAGAAAGTCACTAAACCCATTCTTTTCAGCATTGATTGAGATATCATCAAAAATATCCTCAATTTTGCTAATTGGGGGGAGGTTGAAGTTCAATCCAGGCTTGGGTCTCTTGCCAGGGGCTGAAGAGTATTTGCCTCGCAGGATTTCTGGAGGGAGATTTATCAGACTTTTCAAATCGTCTTCCCCGGATATATTGGCGTCGTCGTTACCAGCATCTTCTGACATGGAAGTGTCAGTCCCCAAGTCGGTATTGGGAGAAGTACAAGTATCAGTATCGACATTGGAGTCAACGGAGCGTCCTTCAACACTTGAATCAGTTAGATCCTCGTCCATGATAAATGCCTGGGCTGTCTCGAGGAGATATAACAGCGCCTCCTCCTGTTTCGCCATTCTGAGGCAGAAGCCTAGGTAGTGGCCTTATCCAGAAAGTAATTAGAAAAGTATTCCGTCCTAGGGCATGGCCATTCCGATTTTTCTAGGCCAAGGAGGAACCAGCACGAGAATGCGTAAATTTCTCCAATATTCTAGTGAATTATGAAGGGAAGATGTTTAAGCAACATAGAACAAGAGAATGAAAGCCAGTGAGTTCATATGACAGGTTTGTTTGCCGCCTATTCATGGGAAAAAGAAAAATATGTTTGTTGTTGACAGGTCAGGGGTTGAACAAGCAACAAGGGCAGTTTCAACGCACTGAACAATGTTGCATTCCTTATATCCAGGGCTTCATTTAAAGCCATTATTCAAGAATATTCCACAGGCTTCTTGCGAAATTAATCTACAAAATTTGAATATCGCTAAATTGCTGGCTTGGTGAGGCTGGGTAGACTGCTTGATAGGCCGGCCCCAGCGCAAATTGATATCCATTATATAGAAATACAACCGCAATGCAACCGCAATGCATTTTTGGGACAATGATGTTCTAGTGAACAGCAGTGTTAAGAAAAATTAAACTGCTTGAATGAGGTAAACCCGTGAAACGGGTAAACATGTCTCAACCAGGAGGCTGGATATTCATCTCTCTCCCAACTACCCAATTGGAAGGCGAATAAGCCATGGCCTCAAAAATAAAGGCATTTATACCTGAGAAATTGCAGACAAAGATTATGAAAATTAGTCCCTAAAGACTAACAGATGGTATATCCAAGAAGGAAATTCCGACATATCTAATATCTCGAGATAAGGTCAAGGCAATCGATCATGGATCTATAATTGAATGCTGATGGCAGGAAAACAGTATATAGAGGCAACCAGCCGGTCTCTTTTTCCCGAGACCAGCAAAACAAGTCAAGAAATTTTGGCCCATAGTTAACGAATATAGACTAAAGGGCACGTTTTGGATGAAAAGAGACAATTAGTCGAATAGCGCAACAACGCCGTCGAACTCAACAGGAATGTCCCAATGATAATGCATAAAATTGTGTAACAATCAAGGGGAAGTTCAAATGTCAAATTAACTTTCCCTAGAAGCGCGATCCTCCTGCAAAGGCATGGAATGTTTAAAAGGGGATGAGAGCTTGTTCGTAAGCTTGCTATTTGTTATAGGAAGGGAAATTCAGGGTTGCATCAAAGATAGATAGGGACATAATACGCAGTAGTTGACTTCAGTTATATCCACTGGCCATTGGAGGACACGAGTTGGATTCATGCGGAGTGGAATCTGGACGTCGACTGCAGAAATCAATCTTGGCGATACTTTGGTTGCGACAGAATTTTAGCGCCTGCCGCGCGCCTATCAATTACAAGCATCACGGAACATGTATACGCCAACTACACTCCTACGTTCCACAAATGTGACTCGATAGGCGTATGTTCACAAAGAGGTCATTTACAAAAACGTGCGGAAGTAATTTCTTGCTATCAAATTTGTATAAAATGACAGAACGCCGTTTAGAGAAAAGTGTATCTTGCCCTAATTTTGCCCTTATGACCAGTACCAGTAACAGCATAGCAAAAGAAAAACGTGCAAAGTCATAAAAATAAATATTAAAAGTACCACCGCCATTGCGCCAAATCCCCGTATCATCCACTATAAGCATAAGTTTTCAGCTTGACGAGACACTGTAAACAGGTATGCGATGCATGGAACACAATCCATAACTATCGCATCCCTCCTTGCATTAACTGCTGCCTCAGTAACATTATCTGGCTACGCTCCGTTGGTGGCAGCGCATCTATCGCAGATTGTGGCATGCTCAATACCTGTTGTAGCAGCTCGTCATGGCTAGGGATCTGTGATGGGGCGGGCTGTTGCTGTGGTAGGGGTTGAGATTGAGGAGGCATTTGAGGTGGCGCGAAAGGAGTATGTTGTACAGGGGGCGTAGATATTTGACCAGGGATCGGTGGATATGGTTGGAACTGTTGAGGCATCTGAGGTGTCGCTTGTGGCGGAGGCTGTTGAGGCTGTGACGCTTGCTCAACGACAGAGCCAAGGACGCTGTAATCAACAAGATTCATGAGTAACAGCGCTTGGAATATGGCATAGGCAAGATGGGGGGCTTGTCTCAATAGCTCCGTTGCGCGAGCTGGGTCTGCCATCACCAGTGACTTCATCTGCGTAATAACGTCGAGAAGTTGAGGAGCGGGGAGGGAAGCGAGAGTTTGTGATATCGCGTTAGGGCAAGTGAGGTTTGGCGGAAGTTCTGTTCCTGGAGGTAATGGTGGCAGTACAGGTGCCTGCGACTGGTCTTGTCCCTGCATCCCCTGCATCATACCCATCTGAGATTGTTGGGGGTAGTCAGGCGGTACGGAGTCTTTCTCATTGTTATGTGGCCAATCCACTCTTATCTTGCGACCCATAATTTCATAATCATTCAGATTTCGTACGGCAGAAGCAGCAGCGTCTGCGTCCGCAAAGTCGGCAAATCCATATCCCTTTGGTTTTCCGGTTTCGGGGTTTATCATCAACCGGAATTTCGTAACAGTGCCCGCGGAGCTGAGAATGTCTTTCACCTGCTCTTCCGTAAGATCTGCAACGATTGTAAGCCAAGCTACCACTATAATACTATGTGTGCAATGGGCTAAATAAAAAGTGACTTACTGTAGGGGATATTCCCAAGGAAAACGCTTTTACCGAAGCGCTCTGGAGGCATTTCCAAAGTCGCACCCCTTTAGGCGCTTGCTTAAAGGGCCGTAGCAGCAAAAGTCAACGATATAATTCTCCGCGACAGTAGTGAATACCAGCTCTGAATACTCAGTTCGGTTGACGGTGTTTTAGTCGTGTGCTGTAAAATACAAGGCCCATCGAAAGCTGGAACGTACTGCGATTGAGGCGTCGTAGAACCATTGGGAAACCCAATCTCACACCTTCCCTAATAAAGTTTAGCGGCATTAAACCCGAACTTTTGATCTCAATCCGCGAGACCAGCTTTCGATGTCAGTCAGTCAACCAGTCCGAACCAGCTGGAATTCCTTTTCCAATTCTTCTTTTTGGCATCATCATGGCTGGAGATCCTCGTGAGACGTGGGCTAGGTTGCAGCAGTCCCTGCAGCAGCAGCGGGCAAAAGGCGGATTTGGTGGAGGCTTTCCGGGTGGCAGCCCCAAGAAAGCTTTCGGATCAGCTGGAGCATTGATTGCGGTTGGATTGGGAGCATATGTTTTCATGAATTCCCTGTTCAACGGTAAGTCATCAGATTTGCTCTTTGCAAATACAGAGAAAAATCAAGTTTAACTAACCCTATTCTCCGTTTTCCTAGTTGACGGTGGTCATCGAGCAATCAAGTACACGAGAATAAGCGGCGTGAAGAAGGAAATCTACAATGAAGGTGGGTTTTGATTCATCCAATTTTGTACCTAGGAGTTTCTCTCTAAAACTTATTTGAATAAAGGAACCCATCTCCGGATCCCATGGTTCGAAACTCCTATCATCTACGACGTTCGCGCGAAGCCAAGAAATGTTGCCTCCCTCACAGGAACCAAGGACTTACAGATGGTGAACATCACCTGCCGTGTCCTTTCCCGCCCAAGAGTCGAGGCTTTACCGCAGATATATCGTACTTTAGGAACCGATTTTGATGAAAGGGTTCTTCCATCCATCGTCAATGAGGTTCTGAAGGCTGTGGTGGCTCAATTCAACGCCAGTCAACTTATCACTCAGCGAGAGAACGTCGCTCGTCTTGTCCGTGATAACCTATCTAGACGTGCTGCTCGTTTCAACATCGTTCTTGATGATGTTTCCCTAACGGTATGAAAGAGAAATGTTTCCTCCTGCGGCTTCGTGTCGTTTCTGTTTGGCTTTTCATCAATAACTAACTATATTATTTCCTCAACAACAGCATCTTGCATTCTCACCCGAATTCACTGCAGCTGTTGAAGCCAAACAAGTTGCTCAACAGGAAGCCCAGCGAGCCGCGTTCGTCGTCGACAAAGCCCGTCAAGAAAAGCAAGCAACCGTTGTGCGAGCACAGGGTGAGGCCCGTTCTGCCCAGTTGATTGGAGACGCCATCAAAAAGAGCAAGAGTTACATCGAGCTGCGGAAACTTGAAAACGCGCGGAATATTGCTACGATCCTGCAGGAAGCTGGTGGAAAGAACAAGCTCTACTTGGATTCAGAGGGCTTGGGACTTAACGTCAATGTTAAACCCGACACCTCTGATAGTTAGAGCTTTGGGGAGCCATTGAGAGGAGGGCAGGGGCTACAACAGTGCCTTTATTGTTGATAAAGAGGGGTGTGGGACCGGTTTCTAGCATTATCGGAAATAATCTTGTTTTTGAATTTGGAGTGTGGTGGTGTGAGATGAAGATTGTCCATTCCTAATCTCAGCAATTCTTCTGTCCGCCACCTTCCGTCCGAAAGCTCCAAAACATCGAATGTATCCGAAGGGGAGTTGGTCATGTATAAATATCATAGCTAGCCGCTATTCTTTTTTCTCTTTGTTGCCATTACTGTTTAAACTGTTACTATTACTGGAAAGTGAATCGAAAAAATACAAGCATCTCCTATATCAAAATAATCTTACCTTTATAGTTCGTTGCGCACTTTATCGAATATCCCATTATTTGCCAACAAGACCTATGTCCGTTCATTCACAACTACTACTATCTCAGCGAGAGGGTGTTAATTCACACAAAACACAAAATGGCCTAGTACGTCGTATGTTTGTTCTTCCAATACCTGATTAAAACTGTGTGCAGAGCTTGAGACATTCCCTGCGTCGAAATTTGGAATAACTTTCCCCAGCACACTCAGGCTATCATCAGGGTGGTATATATGAATATTCGAGTGAACATGAATTACCAACTAGGGCGTAAAAAATTTAAATGTATTGAATATTCCATTACGTTCATCTATCGTTAAATAGGTCATTCATTGCATTGGTAAACTATCATTTCTGAGCGAATACATGATCGTCATCAACCACGAGAAGTGAAGTGAAGTCTCTAAAACCTAGACATACTACTCCGTCTTCATTCTCTTCCTTCTCTTTTCTCTCTGAAAATGAAAATGGCATAGCAAATCGCAAAAATAAGACGGGAGCACGAAACAAAAAAACAGAAAATGGTGTGGGAAAGGGGTTTGCATTCAAAGGGAAAGGGAATTAACAATGTAGACAGAGCACAGTTCCATGACAATCCATCTTCACGAATTGCCCCTTTGCAGTAATGTAAAAAGTATCCGAAGAATCGGTGGAAACAATCAGTAGTCCACGAGCACATTCTGGCAGGAGGAGCAACAAATCAGATGGGCCATTGGCTAAACTATTTACAAAATTGCCAAGTCAATTGTAGCGGCCCTCGGGGTAACCTCTATGATTGCCGGGCCAGCAATGATGATATTGTCAGCAATAGATCCCCGAGCCTCGGAGTTGGTGAGGAAAACGTATGACTGCCCGCTGACCACCGACGGAATGGCGACAGCAAAGAGTAGGTCAACAGGCTCAACCAGAACACTGACGATATCGAGGCCACTAACGAAAGTGAGGAAGAGTGAACCTCCGCCGATATTAACATTCCTTCCGACACGGAAGTGGGCGCGAGAGGAAATAGCGTGGGGCCCGGGCTGGGTTGGAATCAACGTTGGGAATGCCCGGAATGGAAGGGAGGCATTCTGCTGAGGGCACGATACGATAAAAGAAGCAGCCAAAGAAAAGATAGCATTGGTATCAATTGGCGTGCCGGTAACCTTGGCTGAGGAGATCAGGTTGAGACTGTTACGGAGGACGGATTGGTGGAGGCCTTCCGAGACTAGAATAGCACCTGCTTGTGTAAGAATATCCTTATTCGTGATAACCCTCGCACCGCCCAAATAAGCGGAGGTACCAATGCCTTCCAGGATAGATGCCAGTGCAAGGAAGCTGTGAATATCGGTGTACGGGAAATTATATTCACAGGCTGAAACGGGGACAACTCCTGCAGCTCTGAGAGCTTGTGTAAGGAACACTACATGATTCTCCTCATCCTGAGCAATAAATCCCAGCTGCTGGAACAGTCTGGCATCAAACCCAGCCTGACGGAAATGGTTCTCCGTGAATCGAGAGAGTGCGCCCTTGTAGAAAACATTCTCAAGATGCTCGAGCTATACAAAAAAAAAAAAAAAAAAAAAAAAAAAACCCCACAATTAGCTATGGGGCATCATTCTAGGGAACTAAAATGAAGTGTGATGGCCACTTACAGTCAGGGCAAATTGAAGGATATCCACATCCGTAAATCCCCGTTCTACCTGGGGCGCTTTCAAAGGCGCACTAAAGACACCTGAAAGACCGAGAACTCCAATAAACGCGCTGCGTAGAAAGGACTTCATAGTTCGATTTTGTTAGACCAAAAAAGGAATGACAGAATAAAATATTAAAGGCGCATAAAAATAAAATACTAAAAATCGGGAATATGACGGCAAGAAATTGAACGAGTGGTGACCAACACACCAAAAGATAGAATATCAGAAAAAATGAGAGTGGGAATAGAGACAACTTCAAAGCTTGCGGATGATACTTAGACAAAAAGTGGAGATAGATCTTGGGGGAAAATGGCCCCTTTTTACATTGCCAGTCATAACACCCAAGCTCAATTCGATTGACTAGCTTCCATCCTCACTATTTCTAAAGGCAGCGAGTAGGGGCGCTGCGATGCGTTCCTTTGCAGAATCAGACTCCTTGAGACGCTTTCTAAGTGGATATATAGTCGCTTTGAGGCACATGAGACGTTAAATGTAGTGTCAAATAAGGTAAATGCCCTGAGTGTGGCACGCGGACAGGGACAGGTATCTCTTTGTGGCGCAGTGAAGCTTCGTTCAGACACAGACCTAAACCAGTTGCCAGATTAGGATTCAAAATCATCAGACCATTTTCAGATATGAAGGCATCTCATCCGCATTTGTTATGGCGTGTAGAAGTTGGAAGTTTTAAATAGCTTGGTTAGGAAATTTGTCAGAAAAGCTGTAGATATGAGACGTTTGCTCCCATCTTCAAGCAAGAAGTAAGAATGTGTAATCATCGAAAGAGGAGAAAGCAACGCGCATCACCCTCGTATTCGAATTAAAAGTCATATTGTCAATAGCAGCTTCAGACATTTGCGGGCTGCGTGGGGCATTACCCCTGGTGAAGCTGTGTTCTCCTCTCTCATTCATAGCAAAGATTCTAATCTGCAGGAGCACTGCTGATTAATGTCCATTCTTGAATCTCTTCGGGCCTCCAGGCTAAACATCGATCAATGGGTGGGTTGCCTTTCCATCAAAAAAAAAAAAAAAAAAAAAGAAAAAAAAAAAGTAAGATCGGGATTCAAAGCCACGCGGGAACTCCGCTCAGGACAATATATTTGCGGTCGTCGCCTGTTTGACGCCAGTTTCAGGTTGGTAGTTTGTGACTGGGAATAAGCCACACACGCCACTCCTCTGTAGGGTGAAACCACGGATAAGCATCAATTCGAGCTACAAGCTTGAATTTCGCTTGTGATTGAGTATTCCTGCGCAATTATCACACTGTTGCAGGGTATTTAATATGTCAGGTCACGTGATCTGGCTTACTAATCCTTCCACCATATAACTTTCCACAAGCTAGCAACCTTTCAATCACACAAGCTTTACACCTTTCACAGGTTATGAGACCTGTTTTGTGCAAAATCACTGCCAATTCGGGATTTCTTGTCAATATAATCATTATTTGAACTACTGCTTCATTTGATACACTCATCAGGAGTTAAAATCATCTTATTCTATCAGTATTGATGTGTTTAAGATCTTGATAATTAATAATACTACTGCTCACTTAAAAAAGAGGCTTGTAAAAAATGTATCACATTTGCAAAAAAAAAGTAAGAAAAGAGAACAATATTGACAAGAATTCAATAAACAAATATCAAGATGACAGATTCAATACAATCTTACTCACATATATATTTATAATCTTGTGTTCTTTTCACTGAATCAGTTGCAGTTAATAATGATGATTTTTCACACTTATACTCTGTCAGTGAATATTCTTCTGAAGTCTTTGAAAGCTTCATTGATAAATGCTCTGAAACACTCTCTCAATTCAAAGCTGGTTTGAATACAGCTTCTGATATGATCAGGCCGGTCTCTCAATCTACTTAATAGCTTAATGCTGATTCTCTTGATAAGAATAATAAATACTCAGATATCTACTATTCAGATGAGATAATATTAAATTAACAGATAAAGTATCTTAAGATAACATTTAAGATAGAGAAGAAGAGATGTAGAGTTCTAGAACTCAGACTACAACTGAAAAAACTTCATTAACAGAGATTCTCTACAGATTAATTACAGAATATTAACAATTATTCTATTATTATCTTAACAGCTATAATAGCTACAATATATAATCTGAAGATTCTACTCAATACGGTCTGCAAAGCAGCTGCAGTAATTTCTTCAGTAATATCAGATTTATCAACTGCAGTCTGTAAAGAGACTACAGTAATTTCTGATTCATCAATTAATAATCTATTCATTAATGAGAAAATTTGACCTGAGTGTTTATTATTTCTTATACTTACTAATAATTAATGAATTAACTATGATATCTCTGTGAGAATATCTACTCTTTTAGTGCAGAATACACTGAACTTCTCAGAATTCACAGTTAAATCTGATAATTCTTCAACATTTATAAGAAATATTACTACAGTGAGAAAAGCTTCAGTAAGAGACAGTCTTAAAGACCTACTTACTGATTTCAAGATCACTGTACTTCTGATTCTGAAAAACCTCACACACATCAAAGCTTTCATGAAATGAAAGTATTATTACAAGGCCTGTGTTAAAGAGATCAACTGTTTAAAATATATATGTTGAAAAGAGAATATAAAGAAGATAGAGAAATAGAGAGATAAAAAATAATGTATATTATAACTGATTTTTCATTGCTACACATTTTTCAGTCATTTTTTATACCTGTACTTGATTTAAAGGCGAATTTTGTATATAGCATCGTGTATAGTTACTCTGATAAGTGAGAGTGTCAGATCATATAATCTGACTTACTAATTCTTTCATTATATAACTTTTCACAAGCTAGTAATCTTTCAATCACACAAGCTTTACATCTTTCACATAATATATCAGAGCAGAGTAGTAGAGAAAAGGCTTATAATAAGCTAATTATCACGTGATTATCATTTACAGACTATAGTTGTTAAGAATTACAGTTAACAATGTTTGAATATATTTAAATATTATTTTATTAATTACAGTATAGAGAATATCTATTATAACTAGACTAACTACTGAAATTATAAATTTCATATTTAATCTAATTTAATCTGATTTTATACCTTTTTTAATATAAGTTTCACAGAATTAAACATTAAAAAAACTTAAAAAGTGACTAGAAATTAAAACTTAGTATCTTTTATAATGATTAGTGAGGCGCTGAGCCTGCTGAGCACTGTTATTATTAATTTACTGTATATACTAGATCTGTTACAGCAGTAGTACTACTGCTTCAGAGATAATATACTCTCTTAATATTTTCATTAACTCAGTAATTCTTGCTAATAATATATCTTGAAATATTAGTAATCTTCATCAGTCTGTTCAGCAAGATAATAATCTTATTAACTTAAAGATTATTTATCACTGTTCTGTACCTTCTCTGTCTATGTTCTGTGATAATCTCAATTATTATTAAGAATTCAGAGAGAGATCTGACAGCTGAAGTAGAAATTCTTAAGTAGTTGATAATACTCATGTTCTGAATCATTGACAGATTCACTCTGCTCATTACAGCACTGATGTTAATGTTTCTTACTTCTACAGCATGAGTGATAACTTTCTCAGTGATGAACAGTTCAGGAGATGCAAGTGAGAATCACAGTAATTAGAAGAACTGACTGCAAAGCAGCTTCACATTGTCTTCACATTATCTATGAAAGATTTCTTCACAGTTCTTCACTCTCATTTTCTGTTGCTGCTGCTTGATGAGTGTCTGCAGTTCCTTTCTTGACTGTTTGAAGATGCTTTGGCGAGTTGCATGTATGACTCAACACCGGCAATATGAGTGGGAGACAAGAGTGTGCGGTCAGCCGGTCGCTCGGCTCCTCACAAGGTTGGAAAATCTCAGCGTAAGCGCGGCGAGGGGAGAAAGGGCCACAGAAAGTTGTGGCAATGGCTCCCTGAGAATGACGCACGGCTCCTGAGCATGATGGAGGAGCGCCGACCCTGGCCGGAGATAGAGAGGTGTTTTCCAGAAAGGACGGAATCGGCACTGCACCAGCGGGTGTCTACACTTCGGAAACATGAGAGGGGAGTGCGCACAGCCGAACCTGCCAGTGTCACAGTAGCATCTGCAGCCCCAGAGGATTGAGATGTATTGCTAATCCACATACATGAAAGTGATATCATGATTGATCATAAGGTGGCCTCTCCTAGCCATTCATTAACAGCCTTTGGTAGGCAGGTGAAGGTAGCCTTGATCAGCAGTGTCTTTATCTTTCTCCTCCTCGGGGGCAACCCACAGCTCGTCACAGGTATGTAACCGGAGAAGCCGAGCCACCTGCCCGTCGCACTGCCATGCGTTCCCCTCTTCTACTGTACGCAGCCACAGCCGAATGATATGGTTCCCCCATGGTGATCCGCATGCGACAGCTGTGGAAGGGACGCCACTGCTGCATGAGTTCTATTTTCAGACTTCGTCCTCGGATATTGTTGGCTGCTGCGCCGTACTTCAATGGATGGCTACTCACTGGGAAGTACTGCTCAACAAGTCTTTGCTTTTGGTCAAACTGCCCTGCTCAACTGCAGGAAATTTATGATGCGGTTTCCACTTACCTGCAACTTTGGCAGAAATTGACATGATTATTATTATGATGTTCATAACATTCATCAAGTGAAGATATGTGCCGCTTGTGTTGCCTTCTTGTCAAGTTTGACCGTCTAAAATTGGATTTGTCAAGTGTACAGCAAAGAAAGGAAATTTGATTCACTTCTCATAGTGCATCATGGGCGCATTGTGGCCCTTGTAATTTGATAATGATGTCAAACCTATGTGCAGTGGTCTTCACACTTCTACAATGAGGAATAGAATATACATAGCAAGTGAGAAAAGATGCCTCATATCATTTGTATAGAAGAGCAACAATGAAGTATCATTAGTCATTTATCAAAAACAAAGATGAGATGAAACAAGTATAATCAATACAGAAACATTCTGCTGCTAAAATGTAAATCACATCTTTGACAACACTCTATAGACTCTTAATCTCTATATGTATATGTGAAAATGTTCAGCTGAGGGTTGAAATTGTTATCTCTCTTGCTTAAATTCAAGCTCTCTTTTAGCATCTTGAGAACACTGCTGTTCTCAAGTGTAGAATTGATGTAAGTTCAAAACCTGAGTTGTAGTTTCATTTCCATGATTCATTTTTGTGTGAAGAATACAGTGGTACATCGTCAATAGAGGGATCGGATATCTTGCACTTGAGACTTCTCATGATCTCAGTTGAATATACTGGTGCTGCTTGTAATAACTACATGCAAGTGTGTCAGAAAACTTTAGTTTAGCTATTCTCTTTCTCACAAAACTGATAGAGTTCATAAATGCAGTCACACTGATCATTCAAAAGTTATGATAATTTTTACAGTACTGTAACTACACTACTAAATTCATTGCCCTGCATTTTGCACAAGGCAACCGGCCGTACCACATTCTTCTGATTCTAGTACTGGCTAAAGATCGAAATCATTCTCTACTCTTACTTATTGATTGAGAATCAAACCTGAAGATGATCTGATCTCTGAATGTGAGAAGTTGATTCATGTTACAGAATGAGAATTAACTTTACCAGGGTGAATAGCAGCAGTATACTAGATCATATTGAAACTGAATCTTGAAGAAGAAGAGAAAGAAGCTATCTAAGCTAGAGATGAGTGAGTGAATATGAGATGGCAAGGCTTGTATGAGTCATCTGATCATGCTCTATACTCTAAGATTTTTATATTCTGTCTTCTCATCTTCACCGCGGGTTCTTCCTTCTGTGATTAAAAATACATACATATGTTATACATTAATATTTGTGATTCATTGCTAGCAGAACAAGTCTGGGAATTTCTTACTAGCAGAATGAGCTCTGTTCTAGTCATAGTTAGCAGAATAAGCCCTGCTCTGAGATTTCTAGTGAGATATACTCTGCTCTAGAGATTACAGTAGCAGGGACTTTCAGCTCTACTATATATTAGAATTATATACTAGTGAGATGAACTCTGTTCTAGATTCAGTACTGATTGTTATATTAGATTACTGTATTGATATTATTGTAATCTATGATATTAAACTTGAAATAAGAGAAGCATATCTACTTGATTAATTATTTCAGCTGATATATTAGAAATGATGTTACTGAGTGAAGAAGACTGTAGCTAGTATAAGTAGTATTTATAGAAGATCTCTATATATGATTAAGTATTAATAAGATAAGTGAGATTCATTCACTCATTAAACTGAGATTCTTTTCTAAGTTAATATATGAGAAACTTGACTTTATTTTCTCTTATAAGTTTCACATCTAGAATCTTATCAATATCATAGTCTTTATCTATATTATCTATCTCTGAGTGAATAATCTCTGAGAATGTATAATTATTGTTGATTTCTATGACTCTGTAAGATTCTAGAAGAAAGATATGAAAAACATTATATATATAATATGATAAGAATAGTGATAGCTTATAGACTTAAATATCAATGCATTTTTATACTGTGAAGAGTTCTAGAAACTTATAATTCAGCTTCTTATTAAAATATCTTATTTTTATATTTTTATCATTGAGAAAGACTAGATCTTCTTCTTTGAATTCTTGAGAATTATCATAGATATAGTGAGTCATGAGATCTTGAATATGTAGTAGATAGAAGTAAGCCTCTTCTTAAGCTTCTCTGATTAGTACTGTATGATGTTCAGTGCCTGAGTGATTCAGTTCTGAGACTGAGAAGTCAGATATAGTCAGCAGTGATGAATAATATTCTAGATTTATAAAAAAGAGTGTGATATCTAGTACTGAATAAACTGAATTACTGTATATAAACTCTGCAAGAGCTAGAAGATTCACTCAGTTGATTTGAAGATAGTCTATATAAAGATGAATATAGATTTCTAACTCTCAGTTCTATCTTTCTATTTATTCATCAGTCTATAAATAATATACTGTTGAAAGTCTGTGATCTGTGCTCAGAATTTGTGAGAGAATTTGTTAAAATTCTGAGATAAATAGATAATCTCTGTCTGAGATGAGAATAGCAGACATGTCATGTAGATAAACTATATTATTAATGAAAAGATGAGCAAGTATCTCTGAAGTAATATTGATAACTGTAGATATGTAGTATAACCTCTTTGATTATTTGTAGATAATAACTAGAATAATATCAAAGATGACTTCTGTTACTGCACAGAGTGATTTAGAAAGACTAATAATGAAGTTAAGTATGACTGTATATCAGTTAACATTTGAAATAAGAACTGATGTTAGCTCACTGTATATACAGTGTAATATAGGTTTTACATGTTTACATGTCTTATATCTCTTATAATATTCATCAATTTCTTAATATATGTGAGATTAATAGAATCAGCATTGAATTAGACTATATATTCAATGAGAATCAGAGTGACTGATAGTGAAAGTATTATGAAAGTGTTCTAGAAGAAGTTGCTTTATAAGAAGATATTCAGAGACTATAATGTGATTCTGATAGAAAAGCAGTTCATTTTCAATAGCTCAATTCTCTAGATAATTGTAATCAGTAAGAGAGATAAGAGATTCAAGATTCTCTGAGAGATACTGATATATAATATCTAGAAGCAGACTGAAAGTGAAGTCATCACTATAATACATATCTGTAGCTATTGACATAGCAGCTATTCTGACTTGATAAAGATAATCTTATAATCTGTTCAGAAAGTGATGAAAATTATTATTAAGCTTTATCAGCTTCTCTGACTTTGATCTGTAGTCTGAGCACTGACTAGAGACATCTGCTGAGTTTTTATAATCTTTCTTATACTTAATAATAATATCTAACTCACTCAGATACTATGCTCAGTGAACCTGACAATGACTGAGTACTTTGATTATTAGAAAGAAAAGAAGGTTGTTATAATCACTATAAATGACTGTTTTATAATGATTACTCTGTATAAAGTGACTTCAATGTCTGATTGACTCTATGATAGTCAGTATTTTCTGATTATATATGTCATAATTGTGTTCTGCATTTATCATTTTTCTGCTGTAGAATGTAACTGAGTGTAGATATTCATCTACTTCTTTCTGCATGAGAATTTCACTTATGATGTAGTCACTGATATTATAGAAGATTATAATTTCTAGTTCATTAGAGTAGAAGATGAGAAGAGAGATCTTGCAGCATACATCATCTGTAGTGTATGCCGATCACGTATTATACATGTAAAAAGGTAAATCTTGTCTTATTCTTCAAGATGGAGATGGGCGGACGCCTCTATATATATATATATACATGCTTGTTTGTTTATTGTGATTGACTTTTACAGAAGAAAGGAGCAGAAGCCTCAGAAAGAAAGAGACAGAAGTCTCAGAAAGAAAGAGATGAAAGTCTTAGAAAGAAAGAGACAGAAGTCTCAGAAAGAAAGAGATGAAAGTCTCAGAAAGAGATGAAAGTCTCAGAAAGAAAGAGACAGAAGTCTCAGAAAGTAGTAAGAGTGAACATCACAGTTTCTCTGTCTGAAAAGAAGTGAACATCTGAAAATGAGATGATGAGAAAAAAAGCTAAACCTAATAAGAAATGAGTTAGGCATTTTCCAGATGCAGGTTAATATCCTTCTTATATGAGAAGCAGATAAAGAAAGGAATTGAAACAATGAGATGATAATGACACAGTGATAAAGAGTCTGAGATAACAAGATAATAGATATTATAGAGAATCTTTGTCTTTCACAGATATCATACAGATACAATGAGATGATAATGAAACAATAACTATAAATGAGATAAAGAGTCTGAAATAACAAGATGATAGAAGTCATAAGAATGAATAAATAGATGAAAGATGAAGAACTGTAAAATGCAGAGTGAATATAAGTGAAAGAGAACAAGAGAATTGAAAATGATAAAGAGACAGATCTTCTGTCAGAAGACTGAGAGTGATGTAAGTGAATAATTTATAAGTATATAATACAATCAGTCATCTCTCTTTTCTTATTTTTCTTTTCTCTTTCTTATTATCTTTTCATTATCATTTTCATTATCATAAAAATTTTTTGTTGAAATCTAGAGAACTTGCAGCAATGAGTTCAAGAAAGATATTCAGAATATCAGATATAAGAGAAGTGATTGATCAGATTGATCATCTCAACAGAAGTAATATAAGAAGAGTGTTGAAAAAGTTATTTCAGTCATTGAGTCAGAAAGAGTATAATACTCTTCTTGAGACTGCAGAGAAGACAAATGAAATCAAAGAGTCAGAATCTCATTCTTTGATGTCTAAGATAGTTTCAAGAAGTAATGAGGAAAAGGCAGTTGCATCTCATCATCAGTTGACTAGGTTACATGGCCAGGAAGCTGTGAATAAGTCAGTGAAGAAATCTGAGAGCAGAAGCTCAAAAGATTCAGATATAACTGCAGAGAGATTTAAACAGAAGTTTATTATATCATTCACTGAGCTGAAGAAGTCATGATCTTCAAATATACATGAGTTCTCTGACAGAGATACAGATGCAGAGACAGTGACTAAAGATAAGATGAAGTCAGTAGCTCAGATGAAAGTGAAAGTGAAGTCAGTGATGAAAGATATTCATGAGAAGAAAGATAAAGAGAAACTGAAGCTGACTGAAGCAGATAAACAGCAATGAAGAGAT